AAGTATTACGTACGCTACGGAGTATGATTATAAACATTGATATCGTTTCCCACTAATTGCCATTATTTTCAGGCGTCAATGTAGATGTCGAGTCATTCGTACTCGATAAGGAAAAGTGTGCGCAAGCGCATCTTAGAGATGACCATCTGGCACCGATCAAGCCCATGTACGATCTATTTATGGAAGCAAGGAAGCGAGGAATCAAGGTATGGTTTCCCAGTACACAACTAGCTGCGTTGTTAGCTTGTTTTCGGTGTGTGTTTGATATGTTCTTACGTGCCTATCACCTATACCATACACAAAGGGTGTGATGAGTCCACTTTTGAAGTCCAGCAGCGCTAGTGACTTGTGACGCATAAAGGCCCTCTAAGCGCAAATCTACGTGTGTGTGCGTGTCTCTACCAAAGTATGATGCCCGAGGGCCTACCCTCATTCTTGAATCCAAGTAGCTATCATTGTACGGCAAATCCAAGCTTTTGCTATCAGATGTCAACTCTGGCGTGACATAAGAAACACCATGCACTACGCAACACGCTATTCCGTCAGTTGTATTTGTCTCCATATTGCGCACCAATCTATGGATACAAACCATACGCAGCACGTTTGCTCTCTTTCCTACCCTTTGTGCAAGTGTCTATCACTTCACCCCTCGCCAAGTCTCAATGATGCCAGACCGAACCAAGCTCATGCCGTTCTATTTATAGATTATCTACCTTGCTGTGTTTATCCCTTCAGGTTGCTGTGGCCAGTGGTGGCGGGGATAAGGATGTCATCCACACACTCAAAACCATCAACGTGTACGAGTTATGCGACGCTGTGGTCACACGAGCCGATGTCACGAAAGGCAAACCTGGTATGTTCTAGGGTTTTAGGGGTTGATCTTGGGGGTTAGACGTTTAGGGGTACAATGAGGTTTCACTTCGTTAGAGTGCTGCAGAGATATTGTACGGTTGTTGTTCGTTGAATATTTGCAACGATGTCATGTTGAAAATCAACACCGTATGCTATATTACGGTGTCTAGCCTCACCGAATCACAAGAATATTATCTGCTTACTCGAATCCTAAACACCTGGGATATATGAGGCGAAAGAGATGTTGGCCTGGATTCCCATGCCGGGCCGTGTTGTGAGCTAAGTCTCCATTCAATCCTTGCTATCATCACCATACGCCCCGTTTCTGCACACCTTTTGTGGTTCTGTATACACATACCCGGTCTGTAGCACGCCCGCACGTTCATTTGAGTTTCAAAGTCCTGAAAGTCTTGCATGTAATCATAGGAAACCAATTCAAATTTAGCGTTTTGTTTTTGTTTTGCAACTCACACCGAGGTGTGGCTGCGTGTGTGACTGCTTTGACTTGCCTATGTCAGTTCTCGCGCATAGGTACACCAGTTTCCGGTAGTGATGTGCTACCTCCATACGTATGTCAGTATACATACATCTATGGTTGTGTATATACGCACATACTAGAGTCGATCTCGTTGATTCTTTGTATCCTATGCTCCTTGTATCATTTAATTTCTATAATATCCTCGATATTAACTGTACAGACGCGGAGACCTTTAAGAATGCGGCCGATCGTAGTGCGATCGCACCCGAGAATTGCATAGCCTCCGAATACTCATATACATGCGCATACATTCGAATAGAAGGTATCAATTTCCTTGTAACTTTACCTTCTTCATACTAAAACACCAATTCTTATCATTCGTAATTTTACCCGTACAGACGCGGAGACCTTCAAGAAAGCGGCCGATCTCATGGGCATCGCACCGGAGAACTGTATAGCCTTCGAAGACGGCGAGCTGGGTCTGCAAAGCATAGAGGCGGCTCAATTCAAAGTGGCGTACGATGTTCGGTACTGGCAGGATTACCCCTTACCCGAATCTCTAAAGGCTAAGTTTGGTGGATAGGTGATGGAAGAAAACTACTTTTTAAGTGAGCGCAATTAGTCTGTCAAGTGGGTGTGGCGGTGAAGGCCAACTCCCATGCGCTGATGACCAAGTTTGGTGAATACTTCCTGGAACTTAACTAATTAGTTAGTCTGTCATCTGTCAAATAGTTATGCTGGGAATCCCTATAGGGAAACAAATTCTTGGCCAACGTAATTAGTTGTCCAGTAGTTTTAGCATTGGAGGTATACTGAATCCCTATAAGGAAACTAATTCTTGGCCAACGTAATTAGTTGTCCAGTAGTTTTAGCATTGGAGGTATACTGAATTCCTATAGGGAAACTAATTATTGGTCAATGTAGTTAGTTGTCCAGTAGTTTTAGCATTGGAGGTGTACTGTAGTGCCCAGAAATTAGCAAGGTACAGTCCTGCAAGTAATTGTAAAAGTAAAAATAAAGGTAAATCTAATTAGTCTGCGATGCAGTTGTACCACAGCGTGTGGTATCTCGCGTCTCAGTATCGCGCACTGCTGGTTACATCCACTGTCCAGACCTTCTCTAAAAAGAATACGTAGCTGCACACTCCCAAACAGTCTACTGCGCCGTAGTAGTCAACGTACAGGGCGGACCACTGCCTGTCCGATCGAATAAACCATGGGGGTTTCACTTGACAGTGCAATAAACCATGGTTTCTTTAACTTGACAGTACGTAGTTTGCAGCGCAAAGTCTACTGTGCCGTGGTAGTCAACGCACAGGGTAGGCCTTTGCCTGTACGTTCGTATAAACCATGGTATGTTTCATTTGCCAGGAAGTTTTGCATCTAACTGACAAAGGTTCGTCTTGCTGCTATTATACGGAGATTTCTTCAGAGAGAAAATCAGACTTCAGTCTCAAAGTCCTATAACCCTAGAACCCCAAACCTTAAACTTAGATTTCAGGGCCCGTATAAACGAAGAGTTGATAAAATATAGGGCAACGGTGCTATATTGAATATGTGATGCGCTACACACGGCCCCCCATTTTTATATTTTTTTAATTTTTTTTGGGATATTTGACCCAACATAGTAAACTTAATTTTCAGCTTTGAAACGCAACTGCAAATATCAAAATGAAGTTTGACCCTCGGAAAGTTGACCTCGAACTTATGAACTATCAACGTTTCTGTACGTTCATTGGTCCACAACTATTTGGAGGCAACTATTTCAGTGAACTATTTCTCGTATATACGAGCCCTCAGTCTCAGTAATGTGCAAATTTTGGGTTTGGGTCACAAACATGAGATTTGGATGGATGGGATGAATGAGACTGTCTTTGATCGCACAAATTAAGTTTTGAAACAAACAATCGGCCTGCATTTGAGCTTTACTATATCCGATTTACCGGACACATCCGACTAGCATGTGTCTGTGGCGCCCCTGAATACCTACCTATGCGATAAGGCTTTAATGATGTGTATGATGCATATCTTTACTACAGATTCATTAACGCATATAGGACTCAGCTAAACTGCTAGATTAATTATGAATTTGTTCTAATGCATATAGGACTCAGCTAAACAATTAGAGTAATTATGAATCTATTCTAACGCATATATGATTCAGCTTAGCAACTAGATTAATATGAATTTATTCTAACGCATATAGGACTCAGCTAAACAACAAGATTAATTATGAATTTATTCTAACGCATATAGGACTCAGCTAAACAACTAGATTAGTATGAATTTATTCTAACACATATAGGACTCAGCTAAACAACTAGATTAATTATGAATTTATTCTAACGCATATATGACTCAGCTTAACAACCAGATTAATTATGAATCTATTCTAACGCATATATGATTCAGCTTAACAACTAGATTAATATGAATTTATTCTAACACATATAGGACTCAGCTAAACAACAAGATTAATTATGAATCTATTCTAACGCATATATGACTCAGCTTAACAACTAGATTAATATGAATTTATTCTAACACATATAGGACTCAGCTAAACAACTAGATTAATTATGAAATTATTCCAACGCAAATATGTCTCGGCTAAACAGCTAGATTAATTATGAATTTATTCTAACGCATATATGACTCAGTTAAACAACTAGATTAATTATGATTTTATTGTAACCCTTCCACCGCTACGTATTAGTCCGTCTGCGTTTCCAATCCGATCCATGACCTCGGGACTTCCCCTCATCCGCCCGACTCAACGGACTCACCCTACTAGCATGCACCTGCGGCACCCCATCCTGCCTGCCCGTGTGGCCCTTCTCATGGCTTCTATGCGATGCTTCTATATCATGAGTACCCTTAGGCCCATCAAAGCCGTCTCCTCTGGGTCGCCCACTTTGCGTCTCTTTGGGGCCGTATTTGTCCTTGGCCGTGTGCTTCTTGCCCACCCTCCCCAGGTGCTCAGCGTTCTGAGACCTCTCCTTGCGTCCAGAGTGCGGAGAGGGATAGGCCTGGTCGGAGCTCACACACGTACCTATACGCCCCGAGCGGGTTTCCTCCTGTAGCTTGATTCGCCTAGTACCCTTTCGCGCAGATGATGGATAAGACTCTGTGCTTAGACCCACCTCCACACCCTGTTCACTGTTAGCCTCCATGTGAGGTGTAAGGACTAAGCCAGAGCCTTCCTTAGTAGGCGATAGAGTGCAACTTCTCGTACGGGCCGTCCCTGAGGTCGAGCTCCTACTCAGTTTCTGTTCGTACGGGGTTAAGCTTGCACCCAATCCGTCGACTGGCGATCCACATGTACTTCCAGATTCGTCATTACCGTCCCAATTTTCGTCAGTCGCACCAGAAATTGATACCCGTTTCACACCCTTTGTCTTGCTTGCGCTTACCCTCACGCCAGCAGGACACGTTCGCCTACCAAATTCCAAATCGGCTCCGCATCTTGTATCTCCTGATCCTGATTCTGATTTTGATCCCGATTCTTGGAGCTTGTCTTGAAGGTCTGTATTGATTCGCCCTCCGGTTTCTTCCTCATTACCTACCTCTACACTGCTATTGATATCCTTCCTCTCCACTTCAGCTGACTTGGTGGCGCTATGCCTCGTTCGCTTGGATACCGGCTCAGTGCTCTTGGGTCGGGACGAATTCGTTGCAGTGCTGGGGCTACGCCTTTGCCGTTTACTACTGCCCACACTTTCTCTCGATGTTTTAATCCCTGTATCTGGTATATGCACCCCCTCCCCCCTCGTCTCCGCAATCTCCTGGACATCCACACCCGTTCCTGCACCGTCCGTCCCGTCCCCAGAGTGCGCGTCGACCGTCCTACCTGGTCCGCTGGGCAGGCTAACCACCCCCTCCGGGCTCAATGACGTCAATGCGGGCGGCTGAGGCGAGTTCGACTGCATATTGGCCACATCATCAATAGGCACTCCCATAGGCATATCCTCGTCGTCACTTTCATCGCCATGTCCACCCCGGGGTATGTCTTCCGGGGTAGCCACAGGTTCCGGCCCACCCTGCGGCCCAGTATCACTACTAATAAGCCAAGTCTGGTGCTCAGTAGGGCCAATATTTTTCACACGACAGGGCTCCTTAACCATCCTCGAGTCCTCCTGATGGGTCTCCATATGTATTCCCGTATCGTCCTTGGTCCGCTCTACATCGCTCTGGACAACCCCCCCCTCGAGGGCTGTACCCACGCCCACGATATAGTGCGCTTCATGCGCCTTCTCAGCTCCACTATGCAGATGCTGGTACGTCTGATCCCCAGCCGGGTCAGTTATCCTGTCGTCCACACCGTACTCTAATTCCTCTCCGTCTGCCTCTGAACCACTCTCCGAGTCCTCGATAATAATCACCACCTCATCGACAGTCCTTTCCTGGGCCTTGCCCTGATACTCCCGGACACTCACCCTCTGTATCGCCCGAGCTTTGCTATTTCGCCTTCTTGTGAATGCTTTGGCCACCTTCCCGTACACCGTCGGTAACCCCACCCGTCGGAACGTGCGTATTACGGGTCTCCTTCTCAAACCCCTTTCACAGCCCGTCCGGTGGAACGCTGCACCCACATGACGGCTATGCACAACACACGCCAGCAGTCTCTCTCGCACCACAACAGCCTGACAAATACTTTCCGATACACCACCCCCATCCCGTGCATACGCATAACCTCCCCTATCATCGTCCTGCACAGCTAGCTCATCCCGGCCTGCGCGGCCTCGCTTTCTCGACGTACTGTGGTGTGTGCCACTCGCTTCCTTCGGTTGTGCTGCTGTCTGGTCTTGGATCGTGTCACGCCGTTTTCGTGCCTTGAGGTACCCCTCCGGCAACCCCGTCTTCAGCTGCAGCCCCTCAGATGGTCTCAGCGGACGTTTCCGAGTGGATTCATTGCGGTGTGTCTGAGTGGCTTCTTTCTCAGCGATGGAATATCTGGCCTTCGCATTCGCCCTCTTGGCTACAGCGTTCGTACTCTCTGACTCAGAGTGAGTACTCCGAGCTTTACTCCTCGTACTCTGGGCCTTAGTCGTCGTGCTCCGAACATTCACCTTCGTACTCTCAGCTGTTGTGCCTGCACCCGTTGCCTCAGCTCTACCACACCGCGCTGTACTCCTCAAGCTCTTGCTCTCAATACCACTACTCCTAGCCTGCGCGTTCGCACGCTTCGCCTTAGTGACGATAGCATTACTGCCCTCCCCACGCGCACACATAGCTACAGTGTCTGAGCACATCTTACCCATCTTCGCCCGTGTCCGAGTGTCTGAGCGACGTTTGGCCGACTTCACTGGACGTGCGACCCCTACCTCAGACCTTCGGCCTGACGGAACAGTCGTATCCTCATCTATACTATCCGTATCGCTTTCTATATCGCCTGTACCGCTATGCAAAGCTGGCCCGCCAGCATCCACCGTCCTCTCTATATCTCTCGTTCGCTCGGCTTTATTGTCTGCTCCAGCACGTTCTGTGGTTTGACCTTTTTTGGGTACAGACCTTACACTCGTATCAACCTGGCCTTCGTAGCCATCCAAGCCTTCCGCTTCAGAATCGGGTCCGTTTGCTGACCCAGAATCTGTCCCTGATTCGTTCTCGACTCCAATCTCAAGGATGGCAGATAAATTCATTTTGCTCCCCATTCCTGATTTGGACTGCCTGTCCGCTCTGCTCCGCCGCGACCGTGCTACCCTCGAGATCCCCGATGAATTCCCGCGCGTATCTTGATTGGCTTCTTTTTTTAGAACATCGCTGTTTGCGGAATTCCCATTGATGTGGGTATTCGGGTTCCCAGTGTTCCGGGTGTTGTCGCCCGAGAGCGTCGCGTAGGACGTGGCCGGAGGAAAACTTGGTTTATGTGTTTCTGGTACAAACTTTCGGCCGGCTCCAAAGTCCGCGGGGCTGATCCTGGGGAGATAAAACGTAGAACATCTAGAAGGTGAGCGCTAACGTTGACATGCATGTGTTGCATATTGGTAAATCATGGGAAAACTGTGATGAAGTATACGGCCAAGGCATATACTGAGATGCAGCCCATAGAAGTACACGTGCTTGTGTAGCTATATATACTGCGACTCAAGCACTGGTTTCAGGGGTTTAGGGTTGTAGGGTTTTGTGATTGTGCAGAGAAACTCCTGGATATGAACTGATTTAAAAAGACTTACGAAACTACGCCTATACACTTTGGTAAGCAACAGCCTCTGATATGACACACACCTGGACCTGCACTGATTCTAGACAGGTACATAGCGAAACTATGTCTATGTGCGTTAAAAAACGGCATGAGACACACACCTGGGTTTGTACTGTTTCCAGTATACATCGCCCTATATACTTTAGCGCAGAACTATACATATATACATTAGCAATCGTCACACTCTGACGCGACATCCGCGCGCACCGGTAGAACGGAATACGTATGAGGGGCATTAGAGTCTAGAGTTGTTATTACAAGCGCAACTATATGGGTCAATGCATACATCGACTCGGAGACCGGCACACAGAGTTCGGTACAGCCAGCATAGCCTACAGATACACGTATGTACAAATGGATATGAACATAGACACACTATATCCCTTGGGTCTCACAGTCGACTTTCTAGCGCCCTGTACACGATACTATATCAGACCAGGCCCCAATTAGGGACAACTACCAGCAGTCACATATGCCAAGTTGAGCTCACAGAGCTACCATACGAACCCGTTTCTGTGTGTCAAATATTGGCATGCAAGCATACGGGCTAGTATCTGCAGTATAGAAGGAGTTAGAGCCAATCACCCTCCTCTCGCCCAATCCAAAGTGTACTACGTATCACATACTTGTTCGTCGATGGGGCGGGCACCCGTTTGGCCGGGGCGGTTGGCAGTCGGTGTGCTTGCTTGCTGCTTTTGTTGCGCTTGCCCGTATACGGATTTATGTTCAAGCCACTTTGCGTGGCTGGAAGTGACTGTGAGGGCGAACGATAGGAACGGGCTCGGGCTTAGCACACAGGGACAGTATAGTTTACGAGCGAGATAGAAAGGTTCAACACATGGGCATAGCTTGACACGATGGGTGAGTATGGGTGGGGTGGTATAGTTGTATGTAATGGGGTGGTGTAGTTTACGAGCGAGATAGAAAGGTTCAACACATGTGCATAGCTTGGCACGATGGATGAGTATGGGTGGGGTGGTATAGTTATTTGTAATGGGGTAGTATAGTTTACGAGCGAGATGGAAAGGTTCAACACATGAGCATAGCTTGACACGATGAATACGTATGGGTGGGGTGGTATAGTAGTGTGCAATGGGGTAGTATAGTTTATGAGGTTGCTTTCATGGTTGAGTAAATTGGGATAGCTAAACACGGTGAATAAGCACGAGATGCTTTGCTGAGGAACGGTAGGACCCTTACTTAACATGGAGGAGACAACATCCATGCACACATAACAATATTTTACACACACACACACCTCCTTGTTCATCTGCATTGATGTCACGAGTGAGCTGATACGCGCAGCCGGGGCAATATCACCAAAGAGATTGGATTTGGATCCGTTCTGAGGAGTCTTGCGTCGGCCAGCTTGGCGGATGCTGCAGGGTTTGAAGCAATCGTGTTAGCGTATGCGTCGAAACATGCGTTCGTATGTTAGTGCCACTCTGGAGGGTTTGATATTATTCTATGGGTTTTTGATACCACTTTGAGGCGTGTTAGGCGTGGTGGTTTTCCTGATGCGAAACAGCAAGTTTAAACGTAAGGCTATTAGCGGGTGTCGAGAAATTAATATTTTAGTGCTATTTTGGGGTGTTTGATACTCTTGTTGTTGTTTAATAATATTTTTAGCGTGTTTGATACTACTTTGGGGTCTGTTAGACGTGAAATGTTGGTTGATGCTGGGGGTTTAGAAACAAAGATATCAGCGTGTGCGTTGATAAGACACGTATCTTGGTGCCGCTATGAGGTGTTTGTGTTTTAAGCGTAAGAACTGAGCGGATGGAACAATTTCGACTCAATCATGTTAGAATATGCGTCGATAAAACCATGTGTTCATACCATTTGGCGTGTTTGATGTGTCGCAGCCTTGCGGATGCTGCAGTTTTAGTCAGCCAAAATACTTTCGAGAGTGGGGATAACGCATAGTTTATGAGCATTTTGCACTTAATACCGGGTCTTTTCTGATATCGTCGTCCGTTTATACCTTATGAGCACATACATACGAATCTCTGACGTATATATATATATATATATATATATATATTTACTCACACACACTACCATAATATATACTATATATATAAATATATATATATACATATATCATACATACATACATACATATATATATATATATATATATATATAGGTATGTTTTTTGAAAACAAACATGGATTGCTGCGTCGCGTAAACTTTACAATCAGCTTCTGAGCGCGCAAAGAAACTGCACGTACAAAAATAAGAGTATATACAGATTATATGAAGACCTTTACACATGTATAGATTCTTACGTATACTTGCAAGTAAGGCACATCCCCTACGATGAGAGAACAGCCATGCAGAAAACAAACGTGTTGCTTCAAAAGATCTTGCTAGCAAATAAACGTACACATATACGCACACATGTACGATGTACCACACAAACGTCTACGGTAAGAATAAATCTCTTCGTAGCAATACAACATACCGTCTCCAGCATCTTGTTGGCTCTTGAGCTGATGCCGCTGATGTACGGCTTGACAGCTGTCTGTGGAATATCACACTGGGGAGTCTCCAATATAGACGCAATCACCAATGCCGACCCCTGTCGAATTACGAGTGGAAGGTGTGAGCTGCATCCTATGTACAGGTTTATATGTGCTATGTCAACCAGGTACAACCATTCGGTGTTAGATGTACAGAAACGGCTCAGCTATGTGTGCACGTGTACTTGTGTAGGATGTTAGGTAGTGAGTTGAGGGTGTGAGTTGCATCCTATGTACAGGTTTATGTATGCTATATCAACCAGGTACAACTATTCGGTGTTGGATGTACAGAAACGGCTCAGCTATGTGTGCACGTGTATGTTCGGTAGTGAGATGAGGGTGTGAGTTGCATCTTACATACAGGTTTATCTATGCTATATCAACCAGGTACAACCATTCGGTGTTGGATGTACAGAAACGGCTCAGCTACGTGTGCACATGTACTTGTGTAGGATGTTAGGTAGTGAGATTCAGACCTGGAGGTATTCACTGTACAGGCAATCACCATGGTCGAGCGAACTACCCTGCTCGCCTAACCAGTACTTTTCCAATGCAGGCTGGAGAATCTTCGATGCTCCATAAAACCATAAATACACACACACACACATAAATTCTTTTGTCGATGCTCCATGAAACCATAAATACACACACACACACATAAATTTTTGCAGGAAGAGTGTTAAACCATAAATACACGCACACATTAATTCTTGCAGGAAGAGTGTTAAAGCATAAATACACACACACATTAATTCTTGCAGGAAGAGTGATAAACCATAAATACACACACACATTAATTCTTGCAGGAAGAGTGATAAACCATAAATACACACACACATTAATTCTTGCAGGAAGAGTGTTATAATCCAGAAGACAAGCACCGGCCTGGTCGCTCGACCTGTTCTTGAACAATGCCGCCTAGAAAGCAGTCAACACGCCACGAAATGACCTACAGATATGCATGACTACATACAAAGAGAGTATAATGTGTGGCTGTCCACGTACATAAACACACTAACCTTGTCACGTGACCCGTACTTGACCAATGTAGGGGAGGAAGCTGTCAACACGCCATGAGATAATCTACATACATGCATGACTACATACAAAGAGAGTATAATCTGTCCCTGTACACGTACATAAACACACTGACCTTGTCACCTGACCCGTACTTGATCAATGTAGGGGAGGAAGCTGTCAACACGCCATGTGAATCGCCAAAGTGGTTGTGTCGCGAGTGGTTGCGCGATGATGACATAACTATGGGTGTCTGTTCTGTGACGTATGGGGTGGTCTTGATATCGCCTGCAAAGGAAACAGAGTGGTTCAGATGATGCACACGATATGCCTGGTATCTGAGCATATATATATATATATTGTGGCTAAAACACACTGATACAAGGAACATCTTCATACAAAGATCATGGTTTGATGCGTACACTTTTTATATACCGGTGTCTGCTTATTCGGACACTTACTTGTAGCGTAATATCATATTCACTTCGATTAGAGCTTACACTGTTGTAGGAAACGCACAAACTTGTTTGCCGGCACTTGATTATATTTCTTTTGAACAATATAGATGCATTCTTGATCGTATTCGATAAATATATTCAAGAACACCTTCACACAGCGGTTGAAATCGGTCGCCGCATGTGCGATGTGGTGAGTGCATACACACACACACACACAGACACACACACACATAATATATATATATATATATATATATATGTA